AGAAATACAAACTTAAATGAATATTCTTAATAAAGTCCTTAAGCATTATATATAACGAAACATTCCAACAAAAGGATCAATAAAATACACATTACACTTCACACTGCGGTAATTGCACTGGAATATCACGCAACAGTCGCGTATTTACATACAACGATAATAAACAAAATAAAACATTTACCTCATTGGCCTCACTCAAAGGGAATAAAACTTTCATCTTTACGTCATGGGGAGGTCCAAAGAAGGCACTCTTTTATTTATCTTTCTGTGTGACAGCCAAAAAAAAGCCCTCTTAGCAACAACAGACGGAACTATAGGAAAGGTTCCTATCTAATTGCACAATTAGCACAAATAACACATCTAAACATATAAATCTAATCAACAAAACACGAATAACTATTTATTTCTTATTTCTTAATATTTCAACTACTAATTGTTTCAACCTTAAATATCTAATAAAATGAACTGGAATGCGAGAGTTGCCTATGACGGCAGCTACATACTTTAAGACATTAAAAATGTTTCTTTTGTATTAATATCAGAATTATTTTTGATAGCAAAGGTTAGATATGTACAAGGAAATAAGTTGAAAAAAAAAAAACCCATCCATTTTGGGAAGAATAATCTTCTTAATCTTTTTAAAGTACTGGGAGCTGTGACACGAGTCAGTAGATTCAGTATTTTTTTTTTAACTTTTTCCTCCCTCTCTGCTTTCCTGGTCACTAATAAAGATGAATAGAAAGATTATTTTAAAACGTTTTATTTTGTTTCTTTTTTTTAAGAATAAAAATCTGTTCACTTTATATTTTTAAACTGACATGTATTATAGAATACTCCAATTAATTAAAACGATTCATTTACACTCACTTTTAGACAGATACAGAATGATCCATAAAAGCAGCCTTGTCAAATGAATTATTTAATGCTATTGATGAGATGGGATGGTTTTGCTTTTGTTTTAAATTCTGCAAACTGACTATTAGGTTTTTAGGTGTTAAAATAAGAGATTCGTTAAGAAAATAACACCATAATATACTAAAATAATAATAATAACCTAACCCTTCATCTTAATCATAACAAATGTGATAATCTCATTCTATTACTTTGAAAGGTTTTGTATACATGCATGTACAGGCACTTAAAATCAACTTAAAATCATCGACATCAGTTGACAGCTAATTTCAGGAGACTGGTGATTGCTTGGTTGCTAATTTTAATTATTATTTGAGATAATCTGTGACAGAAAAAGCTAAAACTGTCAGTGTTCTCTCTATTTTTAAGGCTCAGGCCCTTGCGATACTATCATTACTTGTTAGTGGATTTTGTTTGATCTTTTTAATTTTTTCTTAAAAATCTCTAATCGTGAAACCACTGGTGCCTTATTTTGGTGCCTCTTCAGGTTAAATTGATCTTGTTTGAAGTTTATTCCTGTCACAGCTGCTAGATGGCAGCATGACCTAAGAGAGCAGAAACACACTTAAACTCATATTCATTGATTATTACAACTTAAACAGACAGTGCTTACTAATCTGATTTATACATGGCGATTACTTATTGAAAATGTGCTCTGTTTCATTTGTAAAGCTCAATCTTGCAAAAATAACATGGATTGTTTGTTGCACAGATTGAAACTGGTCATTGAGTTTGTGATTCATACAGAAAGTCGTGACATTTGGAGGGCTTGTTGCCTGCTCCCGGAGTAAATAGGTGGAACTGGGCTTGTCCTTTGTACAATGGTGATCGGTATGTTAAGCACATTCCAGATAGATGGAATGCAGGGAAAGGAAAATGCCACTACCTAACTAAAACAATTCTTCCAGTTAAACCAGTTTATCATGCTTGTTC